CCCCCCCCACCTCCGACCTCTTTTTCTTTTTATCTGTGTGGTATTTCTACTTTCTATCTGTTCTACTTTTTCCCTCTGCACGGATTGGCGGTTGTCGTGTTTACATAAAAGGGCTTCTCTTTTCTCAAACTATTTTCTCAACTTGTGTCTTCTCGATCTTTGCTTCTTTGTCTCTCAAACTACTTCCCCAAATCATTTCGAGTGAGTGGTTGGCGTGTGCACTGGTGTGATTTGCTCCTTTTCCCCCATCAATTTTCTAGCATCCCGTTCTCTCCTCTCTTTTGTGTTTGTCACACTCTTCTTGTCGCACCTCAGATCTGTGGCATTTATGTATGACCTAATTGTGTTGCAAGTGCCGTAAAACTTTTACTAAGACAAAAGTGTCCACTCGACGTGTAGTTCTTTTTTCTCAAACTATTTCCCCAAACTGTGTCATGTTGGCGTGTGTTTATCTTCACACAAACTGTGTAGTATGTTGGTGGGTTGAATGTTTCTTTTTCTTTCAACCTACATTTGGATGTGCTTCTCTTGACTTTTATATATTGTTGTGTTACGTGATTTTCTTTATTTACACAAATTATGCTGTGTCATTTACTTCCCTGCAGATGATTCGCGGGTACAGAGTGGGTCGTTTGCTCCTTCTTTCCTATAAAAAAATCTATCGTCTCTATCTTCCCTCCTTCTTTTTTGTGTTTGTTACTCTCTTGTAACACCTGAGCTAATCTTCGGCACTTATGTGACCTTATTGCTTTACAAGTGCCGGAAAGCTCCTTAAAAATCTAAAACAAGCAATCCATTTAAGTTTGTATGGGTACTTTTTACACCGGATAAAGAACATTTAGTTTTTATTGTGTTGTTCCTATCACAGGAATCCCCCCCAAAAAATCAAGAAAACTGTAAGCCTTGACCGCAACCATAAACTGCATTTTGGTGATGTTGAAAGGTGCATTTTTGATAGAGCTTTGGGGGGTTGTGAAAATTGAAAATTCTCAAATAAATATGGACATAAGTAGACTGCTTGCGACAGCGACGATGTATGCTATAAATATCACTTGTCTCTGTTTCCTCCAAGTAAGCCGCGGCGGGTGGTTGACGGGTGCTCCGGTGTGGTTAGCTCCTTCTTTCCTATAAAAAATCCATCGTCCTGATCTTTCCTACTTCTTTTCTGTGTTTGTTACTCTCTTGTAACACCTTTAACCTTCTGGCGCTCATATGACCTTATGCAGTTGCGAGCTCCATAAAACCTCTACTAAAACTAAAAAGAGCTTTGGGATGGTATAAAAATTGAAAATTCCCAAATAACTTTGGACATAAGTGGATTGTTTTCGACCGCAATAATGTATGCTATAATATATGTATATATATACCACATGCCTCTGTTTCGTCCAACTAAACCACAATCTTTGTCCCGTTGCACAGGTGGCTGAACCCGCTGTTCAAGAAGGGATATACCCAGCCACTGGAGGAGACAGATCTCTACAACGTCGTGCCCAATGACTCCTCGGAGTACCTGGGCAACAAGCTGGAGCTGTGAGTACACCTGATGGCTGATGTCTTAGAGTTACTTCTGGCAGGGGTGTTGTTGTGGTTGTTGTTGTTGTTGTAGTTGTGGTGGTGGTTGTTGTTGTTGTTGTTGTTGTTGTTGTAGTTGTTGTCGCTGGTTGTGGTTGTTGTTAGTGGTGGTAGAGGCTTGCTTTACCCCAGCTGCGGACACTACTGTCTGTTGTTGTTGTTGGTAGTGGTTGTTGTTGGTGGTATTGTTGTTGTTGTTGTTGTGTTGTTGTTGTTGTTGCTGTTGTTGTTGTTGTTGTTGCAGTTATTGTTGCTGTTGTTGTTGCTGTTGATGTTGTTGTTGTGTTGTGATGTTGTTGTTGTTGGTGATGGTGTTGTTATTGTTGTAGTTGCTGGTTTGTTGCTGTTGTTGTTGTCGCTGTTACTGTTGCTGTCGTTGTCGCTGGTTGTGGTGGCATTTATTCCGGTCACTTCCTCAAGTGGTTTTGTCACCAGATAACGCGGGCCGGTTAGGTCTTGTGGAGTGTTCGGGGAGAGAGAGAGAGAGAGAGAGAGAGAGAGAGAGAGAGAGA